TATATATAATAAATGGCGGCTGTGGAAGGAGCTCTGCTAGGGTTTCTGGCGCATTGATGGCTCCCTGGTGGTGACTGGTGTTGCAAGAAACTCCTTTTATGGGGTTTTTTGAGCTATTTTTTCTGTTCCAATGGTCTTCCCCATTGATGTGAACACAAATGAATAGTGAACTAAGGCCACTTATGCAGCAGTGGTGAGAAAGGCTACTGATACTCTCAAGGATCCTAACCATTTGATGTTCCCTTAGAAGCTGCATTATGTTGTTGCTGGTAAGGGCTTTTGCCCGTGTATTCCCCCTTTAAGAGAAAAAGAGGGGGAACCAGCTATTTTCTTTTCTGATCAAGATTTTAAAGCACTCAATGAGGAGGTGCAGTTCACCTTAGTGGGTAAATTCATGTTGGGACGCTCCAAAATGGAATTAGTAAGGTAATTATTTGAATCAATGAATTTTATTGGAGAATGGAAGGTGGGCTTGCTAGATGGGAGATACTTACTAAAACAACTGTTTATGGAGGAAGACTATGCCAGAATGTTTGCTAAACAGTCCATTATGATTGCTGAAACTTCAATGAAAGTCATAAAATGGACCCCAAGGTTTGACCCTAGCAAGGATCCCCTTGTGGTCCCTCTCTGGTTTAAATTCCCTGGGCTTCCCCTTCAATTTTTTAACATAAATGCTTTGTTTAACATTGACAGAGCTTTGGGCACCCCACTCAAGGTGGACACACCTACTTACAATAAAGAAAGACCATCTTGTGCTAGAAAATTATTTAAAAGGGATATTACCCTCCTAGAACTAAAGAGGGTCGGGATATGGACTGAAGACACTAGTTTTTGCCAGGAAGTGGTGCTAGAACAAAAACCTTATTTTTGTCAACACTGCAAGATGTTTGGACATACATTGGATAGGTGCTATAGACTTCAACCCCCACGTAAGAGTCATTAGGCTGGTGACACTGCTACTCAAGCTACCAGGCCAGATGTTGTAATTGATGTCATTAGGCCACAAATTGATACTGGAGACCCACTGGGATCTATCTCTACTACATCTAATAATCCTAGTTCAGAACCTTTAATTCTCATAAGAAAAGAAGTTTCAAAGGTGGAGATTGTATCCCCACCTTCTATTGATTCTGTGATCTCTGGAGAAACTCTGAATGAAGGTTGTCCCACACCAATTGTTCCTGAAACTGAAACATTGATAAAGTTACAGAATACATTAGAGGAAGATTGGCAAATTCATACAGCCAAGAAGAAAAAGAAACAGGCTATTGAACTCCAAAAATTGGGGAAGGGAACACCTAATGTGACACATGGCAGTTCCATCAAGGGATTAACTGGGAATTCTCCCTAGAAAACAAGAGGAAGAACCAGATATTGGTCCCAACCTTCAGTCCACCCCTCCCCCAAAGATGATTAATATCCTATGCCGGAATATAAGGGGTATTGCTCACCCCCTTTCCATCAAAAGAATTTTACATTTAAATAAATGTTTCAGCTTTGGTGCATTGTTATTTTTGAACCTATGATTCACAAGAACTCTCAAAAAATCATCAAGAAGTTTTGTGGATTTACTCACTATTCTAATCAAAATAACAAGATTTGGGTTCTTTGTGGAAAGGAAATCAATTGGCAGGTGTTGGTGGATCACAAGTAGTTTGCATATAATTTCTGTTTAATGGACATATGGGGTAGGCCTCTTTCATCTATGCTGGATGCAAGAGGGATGATAGGAAAGAACTCTGGGAGGGACTTAATAACATCAGCACTAATATCAACTCCCCTTGGATGGTGGGTGGTGGCTTCAATTGAATTTCTTCCTCTACTGAAAAATCTGGTGGCAAATCCCCAAACCTCTCAAGGATTACTACTTTTGCTAATAATATTCACAATGCAAGCTTGTTTGATGTGGCGTTCTTGCTTTCACTTGGAAGAGAGGCAACATATGGGAAAGATTGGATAGAATCTTGGTGAATGGTCTTTGGTTTTCACAGTTCCTGATGACTTATGTTACTCATCTAAACCTAGCTGGCTCTTATCATAGACCTTTACTGGTCTCCATCACTTCTCAGAGTAATACTGGACAAATTTACCCTTTCAGATATATTAATATGTGGTCTTCTCATCCTGAGTTCAACCATGTTATCAAGTCCAACTGGTGTGGGGTTTTTGACCTTTATCCTTTGATTAATCTCTCTATTATCCAAATCAGAACTGGCAAGGCTCTTAAAAGGTGGAATTGGGAGGTATTTGGAAATGTTTTTACTACTGTTACAATTGCTGAAAAAGAAGTGGAACACCTTGAAAAGAAAGTGCAAAAGGGTATTACTGAAGACAAGGATTTACTCACTGCTCAGCATCAGTTACTTACTGCTATTGACTATCAGGATTTATTCTTTAAGCAGAAAGCTTTTCTCAACATCTTCACTGATGGAGATAGAAAAACTAAGTTTTATCATGCCTACATTAAATATAGAAGGATATGTAACACTATTCATTCTATACAATCCACTGAGGGAGTTTGGCTCAATGATAATGGCTCTATTGCTATAGATGCTGTCTCATATTAAAAACATCTGCTAATGCAAACTAAAATAGATAGGACTCCCATAGATAGGACCCATTTCAATGCAGATAGATCCTATACTTTGAACCTTATGCTTAATGATCCTCCTACTGATCAAGAGGTTTGGATGGCTATTAGCTTAATTGATAGCTCTAAATCTGCTGGTCCAGATGGCTTCACTGCTGACTTTTATAAGAAATCTTGGGACTTAATTAAGAAGGATTTTACTGTAGCAATTAGGAGCTTTTTCCAGGGAAATAATCTGCTTCATTATTTCAGTGCATTTTGGTTTGTACTGATTCCCAAGGCTGAGGTTCAGAATAAATGGGAACATTTCAGACCTATTTGTCTCACTACTATTGTTAGCAAAGTCATAAGTAAAATCACTGTCAAAAGGTTGCAGCCACACTTGGATTGACTTATTTGCTCAAATCAGTCTGCATTTGTTAATGGGAGATCTATCTCAGACAATGTTCTTCTTGCCCAGGAGCTAGTACTGGACTTGGACAAACCATATAGGTCGGGAATATGATTTACAAAATTGATATCAGGAAAGCTTATGACTCTATCAGCTGGTCTTTTATTTTCGAAATTTTATCTGCTAGAGGTTTCTCTACTGATTTTTGTTCCCTCATACTTAGGTGGCTTGCTAATAACCATCATTCTATTCTTATTAATGGGCAACTTAGGGGTTCTTTTAATGCTACCATTGGTCTAAAAGAAGGGGATCCACTCTCCCCTACTATTATCATTTGGGCAATTGACTATCTGTCCAGAATTCTGAATCACAGTATCCTCAATGATATCTACTCTAAATAACCTAATAGGTCAAATTTGGCTAATTCTCATTAATTTATGCTGATGACATCATGGTCTTCTTTAGCTCCCATAAGAATGTTGTCAAGAAGGTCACCAAGTGCCTCAAAGTTTTTCAGGACAACTCAGGTATGTGCTTTAATAAAGATAAATGCCAACAGATTTTCAATAAAAGAATTACTTCTAGCCGCAGACAGTGGATAGCTGAGTACACTGGTTTCAATTGTACACATCTTCCAATCAAATATCTGGGGGTCCCTCTTATTAAGGGCAGAGCTGAGTATCTTCAGTTTGAGGAAGTCCACAACAAAATTAATTCCTATCTTTCTTGCTGGACCAATTCATTTTTATCTAATGGTGGTAGAGTCACCCTTCTCAAAAGCATCCTCACTACTCTTCCTTCTTATATTCTTTAAATGAACAACCTTAAGAAAAGTACCAAACTACAACTTGAAAGGTCCTTCAATAGATTCCTTTGGTCTGGTCAAAGACAGCAATTACATTAGGCTTCTTGGAAAAAAGCTGCTAAACCATTTATGACTGGTGGTATTGGCTTCAAAGGACTTCAACAACTCTTTCATATTAATTTTTGTAAGATATGGATTAAATTCAGAGAACAACCATCCTTGTGGGAAAAATTTATGTTAGGAAAGCATTGTAAGGAACAACACCCCTCTTTTGCTGTTAGGAAAATTAAAGACTCCAAATTATGGGTAAGCATGCTTAATGTTAGAGACCAAGCTGAAAATTTGTTTCTCTGGGAGTTGGGGAAAGGTGATGTGAACTTTTGGCTGGACCACTGGTGTCTTGAAGATTGGCTCACTTATGTTACAAGCCCTCTGACCAAAGGAAAATATGTGAGATTTTCATAACTATTTTGCACTAATTTTGATGATATTGCACTTTAAAGAAAGTTATTTTTTATGTTTTGTTACAGGTATGTTGAATTATGGTCCTTAGAGAAAAAACATGCAAAAAGGAGCAAATTTGGAGCAAAAAAGGACCAAAATATGAAGATTTGATCTTGGGCGCCAACGACGGGCTCGACGCAGTCGACGACAGGTTTTTCCTGAGAGTCCAAAATTAAATATTCTAGAAGGCCGCAGACAACGCCACCAAGGATGCCGACAGTGAGCACTTCGGTTCTCTTAACAGATGCATTGAATGTAGACAATTTTTGAAGTGACGCTTGGGAAACTCTTGAAAACTCTTCTACAACTTTAAAATAAATAATTTGGAGTCTGCTGGTGTGTCTAGGGTGTGTCCGCGGGAGTCTTTATTGTTTGTGGTGCCCATTCCATTAGAATGTAGAGTGTGTAATTTAGAGTTAGTATTGTGAGGAATTCTTAAAGAGATTGTAAGAGTGGAAGGAAAGTGAGAGATTTCTTCCTTCTTGCCGCTTCAAAGGAGAATTTTGTATGCTGTAAAGAAAGGAAGAGATTTAGAGGAACTTCGAGGAGTT